TAAATAACCTTAAAAATTTAGCATTATGTTTAAATATGATCAACAGCAAGGTAAGAACTGTATAAAACCATGAATCGAGACTAAAACATGACCTAAGTAGTATGATAATCAGTCATAGAATTTACGTAAAAAATGAAACTGCCAAGCGAAGCGAGGCCAAAGAAACTTAAACCTCTGAAATAAATAACATTAAAAAAATATAGTGTTAGGTTTAAATATAACCAACAGCAAGGTAAGACTATATAAAAAACACTGACGAAAATCTAAAATGTAAGTACATACGTAGTAAGAATCAAAATTACCCTCCAAAAATTTTTTAACTGATCAATTTAATATATTAATCGGTTAATTCACCCTGCATTAAGTTAATTCTGGCATAATTTGGTCCAACAACTATAAAAATTTTTATGTAATTAAAATAAATCCAATTCTTAAAACTGTATATTATAGTTCCATTCGAACTAGCCTAATTAATTATAGATTATCAAATTATCAATAGCTAGCACATAAATCAACTTAATTTCCTAGGCCAGCCAATTTTTTAAAAATAACTTGGTTGATTTAATTAAACAAAACTAGACGGCAAAGCCGCAACATGATCATGTACTAGTTCTGATAAATAAGCTAATTGCGCTCATAAATTGATAAATATTATCGAAAATGGGAGGAGAAATACATTGACCCCGGAAAAATAATGTGCAACAAATTTTTCCGTATTTTCCTTATATTATCGAAAATGGGATAAATACAGTGACCGCAAAAAGGATTCGGAAAAATAATATGCAACAAAATTTTTTCCGTATTTTCCTTATATCATCGAAAATGGGAGAAATACGGTGACCGCAAAAAGGATCCGGAAAATAATGTGCAACAAACTGTTTCCGTGTTTCTGAATTGCTAAATTATTCTTAAATTTGGTTTAAACGAATGCAAAAATAGTATGATTCATTTTAAGTTCAAAATCATCAAACAGGGATCAGCCTTACGAAATTTTAGTGATCAATCAATGATGCTCCGATAGTCGTTTTTGAGAATTTTGGACTTAAAACGAATGCTAACTTTCTTGGCATTCATTTAAAACACAAATCATTGAAAACGGATCCCGTTCATGAAATATCAGTAATATTTGACGAAGCAATTGCATATTTCAACTCTAATTTTAATATTTGGTATCGTTTAATAGCCATATTTCATGAACGACTAATCCGTTTTTGCGGTTCCGTAAATTTCACCGAAAATTACTTCACCGACAATTTAATTCACCGACACTTATTTCACAAACAAGTATAGACAGTTTATTTCACCGACAAAGTAATTTTGGTCACTGTCGTTGGGTCAGGTTCAAGGTTAGTGCAATTTATAAAAAACTTGTCAGTGAAATAAGCTGTCAGTGAAATAAACTGTCGGTGAAATAAACTGTCGGTGAAATGAACTTGCCTGTGAATTAGTGATGCCTGACGAAATGACGAAACCTGACGAAACCATAAGTTTCGTCAATGACGAAACTTGACGAAATTTATGGTTTCGTCAGGTTTCGTCATTTCGTCAGGCATCACTACTGTGAATTAATTGTAGGTAAAATAATCTTGTCTGTAAATTAATTGTCATTGAACTAAGTTGTCGGTGAAATTATTTCGGTGAAATAATACGGATCCATAATAAAAAAAAAATCAACTGTATTTTTAATCGAGGGAAAACCTATAAATGCAGAATTTCACGCTTTATTGCATTTAATGCATAGTCCAATCAATTATGAGATTTTGCGGCTAAAAATGCATATGAATCATATACTTCGTGATATTATATATCATCCCGTTCCTGGTATAATAATAAATTTAAATTTCCGATTTGAAGATTCCTTGGCAAGTAATGATAAACGTAATTGATAAAATTTATTGTCTTGCACAAGGCATTTTCTTGATTAAATTTAATTACATCGCGTTCTTGATTTTAGCGCAACTATGTTGCGCAGCTAATGTTTTTTGCGTTTGTTGTATATCGGGATCCTGTGACTGTATTAGATCCGGACCAAGAATTTTAGAGTCAGAAGTGATTTTCACCCGGGATTTTCTTAACATAGGGGTATCCACATGATCGTGTTTGCGTGAGTTTTCGTGGGAAAACTGTGATACCTATGATCGGAAATTTTTGTATTCCATAAAGGTATAAAAGTTTGTCATGATAGGTTAACACGTATATCCTCTTCACATAATGCTCCGGATAATGCTGCACACCATACAATCTATTCAGGAGTATGAATCAAATTTTTATCATATGAAATGTAAAATATCCAGATACTTCTAGTTTATTATTAAAGATAGTAAGATATAAAATTCTGCTAGAATTGATCTTGATAATTTCAAGTCAAAAATCGGCTAATGGGAATGATAATTGGATGGTTTATAGTTATGTAAGAGATCGTTATCAATATTAAATTATAGAGACACCTTTAAAATTTACATATTCCCACGCTAATTAGAAAATCATGTATTTGTTATTTTTGGTCAAAATGATCTTAGCGGTAGCTTCATTGTATTCACAAAATAATCTACAATTTTGCATTGATTTTATTTGCAACGTTATTCTAAAAATCCTCTCTAATACCCGTGATGTCGTAATATTCGACGTTCCTTGTTTTTCTCTCATCGATTAATAAACGCAGGTGCTCATTGGTCCACATTGCAACTCTTCTACGACTAACTGCTATTAAACCACAATGTATATAGATTATATAGGAAAATTTTTACTAAGATAATAAATAATATAATATATACAGTGTTGGGCTGACCAGACCAGTTTGACCAATTGACCAGACCAATTTGACTATTTGACCAGTCTGGTCAAAGGATTTGTACTAGTCAAATTGGTCAAATAGCATTTTTATTATATATATATTAGATTTGACCAATTTGACCAGTTTGACCAATTTACCAATTTGACCAGACCAATTTGACCAGCAAATTTTTGCTTGACCACTGATTTACCCAACACTGAATATATATGAGACAAAAAACGCTCTGTGATTGGTTTGGTTTGTTTTTGTTACACAGATCTTGAACGGGGTAAATAGATAAGTAGATAAGTATACATAGCAACGATTTACAATTTTTGGGTTTGTACAGTACTAGCAAGTTTTTATTTTTATTTCTAGCTATCTAAGTAGGCATTTACTAATTTCCCCCAAGTTTCTATTGGCAAAATGTGGCACCTATGTTAGTGTTTGGGGTTAGCGTGGTGAACACCCTTATACTAAAATTTTGCAAGGAATTATTTTTGTTAGTGCCCAAAAGGAAATAAATGTGACTTTTCGAAAAAAAGCGATTGTTGTTTTGATCTTCACGTTACACCTGATCTTGCATTCTGATTGGCCAGAATAGAAGCTTGGGGAAATTAGTAAACGCATCTAAGTAGTGCCTTCATTTTTGAGGCTCTACAAGGTTTTGCATTATGATTGGCCTGTCAGACTGTTTGTATATTCATGAGATTAACACAGCCGTTTTCTATTGGTTAAATTGTTTACACGTTCATTAGATCGACAAATAATCAAATGATTTTGTTTAGTTAATTCGGTTAAATGTTGATCTTATTATTATCGGGTAAATTGTCCGTATGATATAACAAGATCGACGCATTTTAACCTCTAATCTACGATCTTCGATTAGAGAGCATTATTATTCGAGACCTAAATGCGCGAGACTTGATGCTTTCAGTTCATACAATTTCAAAATATATACTATATATCGTATAATATTTTTTAATCGAATGACATTTTTACTTAATCGTATGTCATTGGTTAATCGTATGACATTTTCATTTGTGAATATCGAACTCGAAAAATCAGCTCACAAAGACGTTTGCGTTATAGTAAATGAATCTTCTTATCAAATAACTGGTTATTTATAAAGATATTCTTGAATATGTTCGTAACGAATTATGCAATTGGATTGGCTAAGCTTCACAACTTGATTGCTTCTTTTAAAAAAATTTTACCGTTGATATTTCTATAAATATAACCTGAATTCTGACCTATCAAAAAATCAAGAAAATTAAAATGAAATACATCTCTTTTCCTTTCATCATCACCTATCTTAGCTTGGCTAACTTGGTGCTCTCTATTAATAGCATCAACGACCTCAATACCCAGGAGCGTAAATGGATAGATTGGTTCAAGAAGTGGACAGTTCCGAACACCAAAACAACCAAAGGTCTTTCTTGGGATAACCACCTCTGGCAGAATGTTGTCAGCAACGCAAAAATTAGTCCATCAGCTTATGCGGTAGCAGTTGGAACTTGGTGGTCTTTGAGCGAAGGGATTTTGGATGAACCGTACAGTAAATTTAATGCGACACTTGTTCCGAATGTTGACGGATATTTATTTAATTACAATTTATGTTCTGAAACGGTAAATGAAGTAACAAAAAGTAACGTCATGAAAGGTCCTAATGATGGTTGCCTTGAGAATGCTCCAAATTGTGGAAGCTGTTGGCAAAATGGAATATTTGGCATGGAGATGAATCATACCACTGCAGTAGAGGTTGCCACGGCTGCCGAGAATATCTATGAAGGCAAGACATATTGGACCGTGATTAAGGAAACGATGAATCTAGCAGGGTTTAATTCAGAAAGTGATGTATACAAAACCTTGCTGAAATACTTCCCAAATGATGCATCTGTTCCAGCTTTAGAGTTAAGCATGGACTGTGCAAACTTGGTGAAAATATGGCTTGTTAGAAATCATCTGGTTGGACTATCGGTTGCCGTAAGCGACAATCTTGCATGCCTAAATTCATCTTCTGATTATCCAAGCTGGTGTATGGTTGATACAAAATTCTCTAACGGATTTGAAGGTGTCAATAATACAATTAATATTCTTGCGAATTATTATGCAAATTAAAGCATGTATATCAGTATAAGAAATTCTTGAATCACGAAATTGTAAAAACAGATCCTTGCCATGATATTTTTCTTGACTCTATAGTTTCATTGTCATTCCATATATTATTTTCTTTATCAATTATCTTCTTTACGGTTTTCTAGATTGAGAAGCATTCACAATTTTTTCTGCGATGTAAAATACAATATTAATTTCTTGATACTATATCAGTTGTAAAGCAATGACTCAAAAAGCCATGAAATTTAATAAAATATATTCTGATTTGATTCGTCAATTACCTCTATCACTAGTACAAGAAGCTTGGAATCTATTGTTTCTCGAAAGCGAAGTTCAATGACGAAAAAAGAAGCCAGTTTAGTAAATCTATTAGTCGAATCCTTTTAAGACATGAGGTTGATAGATATCAAAAAAATTAAAATACCACAGGCGAAGTCCATCACCACTTTATCATATAGTATAAACATGGTTAACCAAGAATCCCAAACCCAAGATATTGTTCCGATTTGTACATGCAATCAGACACATAAGTGCTCTTGCTTTGCAAGTGAGGAGGATATTCTTGCTGGGTTAAGAAAGAGGTCGATATTTTATTCTAACGATTACTAAAACATAACGAAAAAACTTTTGGTAAATTTATGTGAGAAATCACTATGGAGCATGAGGAACGGGTCAAAGCCAATAAAAAATTGCGATATGAAGTTGAAAAAAGAAGATAGAATTGCAAGAGGCAGAAAAATTCCTTGAATATCTGAAATCTCGCTCTACTCATTAGAGAGATCAAGAGGTTGGTCCCATCCCTTGCAAAGATGTAGAGAGTCTTCTCTACCTTGTAAACTTTTATCAAGTATATCAATAGCATTTCGCCAATTTTTTGTATGCCGTCTAGCAATATTAACTAGCTCATCATAGGTACCACTGCCATTGAAGAGAACAATATAATCGAGATTTTTTCTTATTAATTTTGGACAGTCAAAGAAGGATTGTATAAAATATATATTACTAATGTTTTTATAGCATCCTTTGGTAAAGTAACGAGCAATTTTTCTTGTATTTTTTTAGGTTCTGTATTTTTTTAGGTTCAGTACATATATCTTCAAATATAGTAACTGTTCTTCTTTCAGGAGAAAATTCTTCTATCTTTGGTATTTTGTCAGGTTTCGATACTCGAAATGTAATATTTTCATAATATGGCTTTGGGCTATTTGAAATTATTCGGTAGCAATTATGCTATATTTCAGCTCCTTGAAGTGATGTCTGATCAAAACCAAATCATCATTCTTAATATATCATGTTTCACCTTTTTTTTCACTAAACATTTGAAATATCTTATCCCAAATAAAAGACTAACAATCATATTGGTTTTTTCTAATCTAGTTCCTCCACTAACTAGTAAATTAAAAGGCCACTGAATATATGTGTTAATGCCATTAAAATACTCTGGCTTAGTATACTTGACAATATTAAGTATGAATATTTTACATGGATTGAGTTTTACTATTTTTATATTAGTATTTTATAGACATCTTTTTTAACAAGAGAATTTTTAATAAACAGATATAAATCGGTAGAATATGATATTTCAATAAGATTTATACCTTGCTTTTTGCATATGTTCTGCTTGTTTTTGATCATGCTGTTTCTGATTTTTTAAATCAATTTCTCCCTGCTTATGAAACATTGCATTCAAATAATATTGACATTCTTGATATTCTCATACCAATTTTAGTTTTTTATTATACTAATTGAGTCTCAATATACTGATGCATATAGTAGAAATTGTTATTTAGAAGATCTTCAAAAATATATTGACAACTTCTTTTACAGGTGTTTGGACAAATTAAACTATTTGAATTTTGCTTCTGGATTTTATAAAATGCTACTCATTAACAGAGTCTATTTTTATATATCCAGAGATATATGTTAAACCTATTTATATAATCAGTTTTTTAAAATATTTGTTATCATATTTTTTAGCATATGCCTAGGTTTTAACAATTTTATTAATAATATGAAAAAATTAATAGATCTAAAATGAGTGTTTTCTTTCAATATACTTTAGAGTAGATACTGAAGTTTTTCTAATTTAATTAACATTAATTATTCATATACAAATCTATGTGTTGTGTGAATTCTCTATCTAAATAATTTAAAACTAGTTCATTTTTTATTATTATGATTTTGCAAATTTCTGATTTTTGGAATTTAAATTAGAGTTTTTAGAGATTGCTTTTTTAAAAATTTTAAAAGCAAATAACTTTTAATTTACAAGTTTTTAAAAAATAATTTTATTATTGTCATATTTACCTTTTTATTATGATTCTAACAAGTTCAAAATTATCTAAATCAAATCACAGGATTAAGAAATAAAGCTATAATTAAATAAGAACACATCTCATATATCAAACAATTGGTTAAATCTGGTCTAACTAATTGTTTGATATATGGGTGTGTTTTATTTGATTATAGCTTTATTGCTTGATTCTGTAATTAGATTTGGATGATTTTGAACTTGTTAGAATCATAATAAAGAGGTGAATATAACAATAATAAATTATTTTTTAAAAACTTGTAAATTTTTTTATTTTTTTTTTATTTTTTTTTTAAACCTTCGCAATGTCATGAGAAGGCAGATTTTTATTAGGTATTTAGATAATACATTCTTGGTTACCCTGTTCTGTACCATCCATCACAATCACGCCATCCCATAACCTCATGCTGCTTCATAAACTATAGCAGAAGTGTTCTCCGGCTGTTTTGTTCTTACTGATTTTTTCTAATGTTTTAACTATACTATGATCTTAAACTGAAGACCACCCAAATCGACATTTGCTATACTACTTGTACTCTAATTCTATAGATAACCCAGTAGAGTTCTCATACTACCGGTTGCCCTAGGGAGGGTGTAGTACATATTTTTCTAATCTTTCTATGTCTCACACATTTCTAGATTAGGCTACGAATACCTTCTGCAGCAGCCGAAAACACCACTAGCAGTCAGGGCGAACTATTAAACCGCACAATTCCAGTATCCAGTGCCCTTGCAAGGTTTGTTCTGATCCTGATATCTACATCAAGCCGGCCCTTATACTGATCCCTCCCCAACTACCAAACCAGTTAGCCCAGACGGGTCATTGTATCTAGGCTTTAAGTGTCTTCCAGTTTTACTTCCCTTGGTTTCTAATTCCATAGCATAGGACCTTTTTATCCAGTGCAACTCCGGCGGCCAGGTTGGTGAACCCTTCTTGCTCCAGGGTTTTGTCTGATTCTTCGGTCTCCAGTTTCCAACTTTTCCACAATATCGTCAAAGATCTTCACTACCTCCTTACTCGAATCTTGCCAAACAGATTTCAATTATTCTGGTTCCTTGGATTTGGATCGCCCAAGAGATTCCATTTCGAGATAGTAGTACCAAAATTACAGATAATATACCCAACTGATTGTCGAATAATTGTTACCAGAACACAGGCCTATTTTTCTAAAAATGTCTTCGGTGTGATTTGAACTCTAGACTTGCCACTTAGGAGGTGACAACTTAACCACTACTCTAAGTCACCACACCCAAAAAACTTGTAAATTAAAAGTTATTTGCTTTTAAATTTTTAAAAAAACAAACTCAAAAATCCTAATTTAAATTTCAAAAATCAGAGTATATGCTTTATTAATTCGCTATACCTCCTTTTAACTTTATATTAACATGTAAATAATGAATATTATTACTTTTTTAATTTATTTTTCTATTTTTCTCAACAGGATGTTTATATTTTGTAGATAGCTAAAATTTGACCTTTTTAATTTGATGGCTTTTATTAGTACTAACTTTTGCTTTAAGAATTCAAATACTCTAATAAGATATATAAAATAATTATTAAAATAATCCATTATTCTGAGTAAATGTTTAACTTATACTTTTATTAATTTTTTTTTTGGTATTAAGGTGAGGCCTTGCTCATATCTTTATTAGTAACTTTAAAAATAGTAACTACATTAAAAAGATACTACTATTTGTACAAGTACAAATAAAAACAAAAATTATATGCAAGAATAGAAGCTCAGACATATTTATCTGCAATCTAAACCCAACTTATACAGTCTTCCTCCTCTATAATCACCTCTTATATAATCACAACTCCTATACAATCACGTTGATTTTTGAAACAATTTATTAAAAAACTTATAAAAAAAAACTTTTATATAATTACACTCTTTTATAATTACCAATTTTCTTGATACAAACTGCATGATTATAGAGGAGGAAAACTGTACTTTTATTAATTTAAAGTCTAAGAATATATTTTTAATACTATATTAAATCTTATAATGAATTTTTGCTAAAATTTTATTAAATCTCTTTACAATTGCTATACTAAGAAAACTATAGTTGTAATTAATTAATCAAACTATATAAGATTAATTAGCAACTCTTTCTGCTGATCATCAAAACACAAATTTTTGAAAACAAAATTTAATAAAAATTTATAAAAAATACACAAAAGTTATTAAGAAACCAAATTTGGAGCCTTAAGTAAAGAGGAAGAGAACAACAAGAAACACTTAGTCTCTTAATTGATGATTTGTCAGTCAACCAGAGAAGATCTGCAAATTTTTATAAGTAAATTTTACTATTGATCCAAATGTGGAGTCACCAATCTAAAACTTTTTTTACTAAGTAAATTATTCTTGGGCTTATAACAAAAGTTGTAGAGCTCATTAAGACACATCTAATAGTAGTAAGAATATTAAAATTAGTCTAATAGTTTTTAAAAAATCTTTAAAAAATATTTTGTTGATATATAAAATTTCTTAAGAAATTTTATATATCGGTAAACCATTTTTTGATGATTTTTCAAGAATCACCAGGCTAATTTAAACTTTTTACTACTATAAAATGCATTTTGATGAGCTCTACAACTTTTATTATGAACCCAAAAGTAATTTACTTAGTAATAAAAAAAGTTTTAGATTGATGCACTTCACATTTGGCTTAATAATAAAATTTACTT